CCCCAAAACCCCAAAACCCCAAAACCCCAAAACCCCTGATAGGAATCATGGTATTGAAATAAGTTAAAAATATTTAGTTTAGATCAGTTATCTGGTAAAATCAAGCCCGAAAATGTTATGGTATCTTCTGACAAAGAACTTTATGAACAGTGGATCATATATGAAGTTTGTATGGGCTTTACGTCCAATCAGAGAGTCCAAGCTAGCTTCGACAAGGAAATCTATATTAGGTTAAAATATCTGCACTCACCGATATCAACTCGAACAACTCATTTCTTGACAGGCTCCAAGATGTTCTGAGCCATTGAGAGAAGCTTTGGAGTATGTTTAAGAGATATATCGTCTTTAAATACTTGTCATCTTGCTGAAGAATATGGCACGAAGCTATCTTGAGGGGATCAGAAGAAATAAATATACTCAAAATCTTTCAAAGCTCTGTTTTTACTCAATTTGTAAAGGAAAGTATCTTCAAAATTACTAGAGTCTCTCATGTTTAGCTGAGTAATTCAATCAATTTTTAGGAAAACCTGTGTTAACCAAATTCCAACCTTAATATGTTTCTGAGAATTCATGATTCCTAAATGGGGAGATCCAAAGGTGACAAAGGAATAAAAGAAGTTGTTATATTCCACTAACTCAGGGATTGCTGCTCTTGATACTATACCTCCAAGTGAGTGTCAGAGAAATGATATCTGGCCTATTTCATCCATTGAGTAATTCCTCTTAATAAATTTCCGAATTTCTTTCACCAACTCAATTGCAAGTTCATCAATACTTTTCTTAGATTTCTCTTCTCCCATACATTTTGGTAACAGGAAGTCACTGTTTGGGACTACTCTTCTGATCTCGCTCATTAGAGGAATCATGCAGATATAGCTCCCACCCAGTCCATGGACCAAGATAAAAATATGTATCTTTTTCCGCTCATAAGGCGTATTTGCAATTGGCTTTGGAAGTTTATATACATTTTCTATAAATATAGGGTAATTAGCCAGATCAAGTTCTTCCAGTGGGATCAATGGCATTGGAGATTTAATAGCCTTCAGATTTTCTCTTATTAAACTAACTATTCTTCTATTCATACGTGCAATAGGTCTTTTGTGTAACAAACCGAGGTTAGAATCCTTACATTCAGTGCTATACCATATCTTATTAGACTTAGATTGCTTTACATACGTTGTTTTGAGATATAGACCTTTGAGGAAATAGAAGAATTGAGATTCCTGATCTTCAATCTGATCATATAATTTCTCATACGACTTTTGTATCTGAGCTCTGACCCTCGAAAGCTCCTTTAAAATTAAATACGCCACTCTATGAGGTTTCTGAATACTTTGAAATCCCAGAAAGTTAGAGAAGCTGTTTCGTGAATCCCTTCGAAATGTACTACTCTCCTCCTTAATATCAACCTCATTATGAAGGCTATCTTTTGATTTAATCTTAGTGAACACTACTCTACTGGCAGAACTCTTCATTTGTGCATCAATATTGTGTATTTTTCTGGGGAACACAACAGGTGAGAATTCAAGGTTCTCTTTTGACTCAGAGAGATCCTCCTTAGAGCCTTCAGAGTCAAAATCAAAATCAAGCTTCTTCCTGCTTTGGTCAAGTTTAAAGTTAACCTCTCCGTTAACTGGTGCGATATACTTTTTGGACATCTCCTGGCTAATCAAATCTTCAGAGTGCTCACTATAAATTATTTCAGATAGTTCTGGAGGGATAGGTTTTAGCCTCTCATCTGACTCGTCATGACTATTTTCAGGGATCTTGAAAGAAGGAAATTTCCTCATCTCTGGTATAAAGCAAGGGTTTAGCTCTCTTTGAAGAAAATTGAAGTCTATCTCTCTTGGACTCTCCCGTATAACTTCATCATCTTGTTCAAAGATATCTTGAGATATTTCATCGTCAAGTTCTTTCTCCTTTATTGGTTCTTCTGTAAGATTTGATATTTTAAGTTCAGGGAATTCTGAGATTTCAGGAAATCTTGACCACATAAGCATTATTACATCATTACAAGCGTGGTAGGACTTATTTCAAAGGTAAAAAGATATCCCTAGAAATTTTAGCTACTTCTTTAGCTGTAATATTAGAAGAATGGCCAAATAATAGCTTAGAAAATGATCTGAGCAAGGTGTCTCTTCCAGAGGCTAAGTTTTTATTTACAGCATCAAGAGTGATTTCTACTTCTGAGCTGGTATCTAGGCCTTTGAAGCTTTTGTAGTTCTTCATCGTTTTCCTTTCAGATTCATGCTTTTTCAGGGGCAAACTCCTCATGTCAAAAGTCTTGTCAAGCTGACTATTCTTAGGAGCAATAAACTTGTAGTTGATTAATGAGGAAGTTACAAAACCTTCCAGTTGTCAGAAATTTCAATCATAAAAAGCAATGGAGAAGTACTCGAATTTTCATTCGTAGAGGTCAGAGATCTTCAGTTCTATGGTCTTTATCTTATGAATAGACTTTGATTCGTAATACTCTTTATTTTGAACCCCCATCTTCATTTTTAAGTTCTTCATTTGTAAATAATGATGATCTATCTTGGGATTCATTGAGACCACCAGCGTAAAGAGCAATTTCTATATAAAGCTCTTCCTGAGTAGATTTGAACAGAGCTTCTGAGCTGATACCTTGCTCTAATTTATTTTCATCAATATCAATGTCTACCTGGAATAGCGCATAATCCTTCAACGGTAAATTTAGTGAGTTACTTCTGAGTTTTATCAGGCTTGATCTCACTCAGTTGTACTGAGCAAAAATTTTAGGTGACTTACAGACCTCGTTCTTTTCATCATAAGATTCAAGACTCTCCTCTATAAATTAAGTAAGTTGTGCGTTAAGTTTTTCCGCCTACCACTAATGTCAGAATCAGAGTCTGAATCAGAGTACATCATTCTGCTAATGCCTCAATCATAAGGATCTATGTATACCTTCTCTTTATTCTGTTTCCGGTAAATCCCAAGAAGGATGTATTGACGTCATGAGGAGGCAAAAACTGTGTTTCGGAATTTTAAACACTGTATTTTGATATCCCATGTTGCTTTTATTGGCATTTTGTTATTTTCTATAATTATTTAGAGTAATGGGGTTTTGGGGTTTTGGGGTTTTGGGGTTTTGGGG